AGGGATGAGGAGACGTGACTTCTCTCTCTACAAGGAGTATGTCACTGATAGATGTCATGATTTCAAGGATTATCCCTGGTCGGAGAAGAATGAGGCCGTGGCTGAGGAAGTGAAGGAGATACGGGACATGGTGAAGGGATTAACGAGACAAGTTACAGAGATTGTGACCGCCACAGGGGCCACGGCCTACCGGGACAAACCTGGAGGACCCTATTCACTTCGCTGGGACCGTAGGAACAACGATTCCTAGAGGAGTGTCGAGGATAGAAATCCCCGGACGCTGACTGATTATCGTGCTAGCGGAAGAGAGAGAGACGATGAGCCATGGCGACGTACGGATGATGAGATAGATCGAGACCGCAGAGATCGCGAGCTGTTTGCGCGAGCAAGGAGGCTGGATGATTACCCGCGAAGCCCTCGCTATGAGGCCGATCGCGGCCGATGGGAGACAGATCAGGGCCGACGGGATGGATATAGGGACGACCGATACGAGAGATCAGGCCGAGATGGATATAGGGACGACAGATACGAGAGATCAGACCGAGATGGATATAGGGACGGCAGATACGAGAGATCGGACCGAGACGGATATAGGGACGATGGATACGAGAGGTCGGGTCAAGATGGCTACAGAGGTGGTAGGTATGAAAGAGGAGATCGAGATTGGGAACGACGAGATAGGTCGCGCGGACGGTTTGAGCGCGGGGGAGATGCGAGAGAGCAGCGCGACAAGTCGCGGGGGTGGTACAACCGAGGGGACCGACGCGATGAGTCACGAGGGCGATATGACTCGGGGGACCGCCGGAATGATTCGCGAGGGCGGTATGAGCAAGGAGGGTATGGAGGAGACCGCGGCAACGATTCGCGCAGTCGGAATGAGAGAGGGGGATATGGCGTCTCATCAGAACCATATCTGAAGTCGCCTGACCCTAACGCAGCCAGGAGTTCGATCTCTAGAAGCGCAGACGACAGGCCATCTACTCCCAGGAACTCATGCGTCTACTGTAGAGGAGAAGATCATATCAAGAGGGATTGCCCGGACCTCAAACAGGCAATAGATGAGGGACTTGTCGTGCTTGACGACCGCAAGTACGTCAAGTGGGCAGATGGTCTGGGAGATGTATCGATGTTCCCTTCGATGAACGAGAATGTCGAAGCAAGGAGAGTAAAG